CCCCTAAGCATGTTGCATTCAAATGTCAGGACAGAAACTGGGTGGTTTTGGAGCCCGACACACGGCTGCTGCTGCTGCCTGGCTGAAGAAAAGCTGGTGTGCGTTGGCCGGGAATCGAACCCGGGTCAACTGCTTGGAAGGCAGCTATGCTCACCACTATACCACCAACGCATCTGGCTGCATGCCTCCCTGAGGCTCCTGCAGCTCACCACCTCAGGGGCCTCCTCCTTCCAGCCACCTGCCCACACGGGCAGGCATGGGAGAGGGCAGGTTTTGCCTGCTGTGTTTCCAGTGGAAAGAGTTAGGCTGTGGTGTGTCTGCTGCTGCACAGCAGCCTGCGCTGCTCAGGGGCCCTTTTGGAGTGCTGACTGGCAAGAAAGCAAAGGGGAAGGGTGCAGAGCCGAGGGAGTGCAACAGCCATACCAGCCCCAGCCATGGCATGAGAGAGGAGCGAACGAACGGCAGCAGAGGCACAAAAGCTTGGCACAGGAGCCTGCAAGTAAAGGCTGTAGCAGAGGATGGTTTCGATCCATCGACCTCTGGGTTATGGGCCCAGCACGCTTCCGCTGCGCCACTCTGCTCTCCCCCAGACCTGCTGCCCCCACCTCGCCCAGCCCTGCCTGCGGTGCCCTGAGCCAAACCCGCAGCAATGGGGCACCTGCCTGCCTGCTTTGCAGGCTCCCACCACCTGCTCTCCACACAGCTCACCAGGGCCGCCACCATGCCCGCAAATCACGCTGCCCCGTGATGCGGCTGCGCCCCCTCACAGACAGCGCCCTGCCCCTGCCTGTGCTGCGCTCCCCTGAGAGAGGGACTTAAGAGAAGCTGAGCAATCACTGGGCCTCTTCAGCCCGGAGAAGAGGAGGCTGAGGGGGGACCTCATCGTGGTCTACAACTTCCTCGTGAGGGGGAGTGGAGAGGCAGGTGACCTATTGTCCGTAAACACCAGTGACAGGACCCGCAGGAACGGTCTTAAGCTGAGGCAGGCAGGGGAAGTTTAGGCTGGACATCAGGAAGAGGTTCTTCACCGAGAGGGTGGTTGCACACTGGAACAGGCTGCCCAGGGAAGTAGTCACTGCACCAAGCCTGTCTGAATTTAAGAAGCGATTGGACCGTGCACTTAGTAACATGGTCTAAACGTCTGGATAGACCTGTGCGGTGCCAGGAGATGGACTTGATGATCCTTATGGGTCCCTTCCAACTCGGGACATTCTATGATTCTAGGGCACTGATGGCATTAAACTACTTAGTGCTACTTAGTGTCTTTGCTAACTATGGTGCATTGTGCAAATTAACTAAAGCAAGAAGCCTTGGGTCCCTTACCAAGGTCAGTCTCCTGAGAAGAGGGTGAGCCTATCTTAAGATGCTAGTAGAAACAGCAGGCAGACCAAAAGGGGACTGCATGCCGTAGTTGGCAGGATTCGAACCTGCGCGGGGAAACCCCAATGGATTTCTAGTCCATCGCCTTCACCACTCGGCCACAACTACCTGCTCCGGCCAGCTCTGATGGCATCATCAAGTGCTCTGGGCAATGACCACCAGCTCCCTGCCACTCTCAACGACAGGCTGCACCCAAAGCCGCTGCACAAGGGACCTGCACCAGCAGCCCAAATTGCCACCTGCTGACACGCTTCCTGGCCCCTTGACTGCTCAAAGCCCACGGATAAGGACGCACCTTCCTGCACCTTGGCCTCACACTGCCATACGGCATATCCTGACACACAGAATCGTATCTGCTCACCTGCCATCTCAGCTGCTTCCACGGAAAAAGCGTGGAGACAACCTGTGTGGAGACAGACCCTGACAGCGGAAGCTGTGGGATGGGATATTAGCCATGGGATGCAGTCTTTCCCAAACTGATCCAATGTGACCTTCCAACAGAACGCAGTTCTTCAAGAACCACTCCAACATGCTCCTTACAACAGGGTACAGCCCTTCAGGAATGCTCCACCAGGAGCTCCTCTCCAGAGATTGCCGTTCTGGCCCAGAGTCTGCTCCTCGGATGGCTAACAATGGTCTGCAATGTCCTTCGGGCCGTATCTACCTGCTCCACTGTGGTCTTTTACATGGGCTGCAGGGGGACAGCCTGTTCCTCCACTGTCCACTGGGCTACAGGGCAAGTTCTTCTCCAGACCTAGAGTATCTCCTTCCCTTCCCTATTCATTGAGCTTGATGTCTGCAGAGTTGCTACTTTCTACTTTTCCTCACTCCTCTCTCCCTGATGTTGTTGCACAGTGTTTTTCTTTTTTTCCTCCTTTCTTAATTATGCTATCACAGAGGCACAATTAACATCACGTATTGGCTCAGCTTTGGACAGCGGTGGGTCCATTTTTGAGATTTTTAACAGAAAGGGTCTCGTTGGTGAACTGGTGATTGGTGGCTGTCTTGTCCATAGTGACCATGAAGTAGTCAAATTTAAAATATTAGGTGATAGGAGGAAAACTACCACCAAATCTTCAACCCTGGATATAGGGAGAGCAGGCTTGTGGTTGCTCAGGGAAGTAGTTATTATGGTCCCCTGGGAATTTGCTTTTGAAGGTGCTGGGATCTATCAGCACAGGTCACTTTTAAAGTACTACATCATAAGAGTACAGGAAAAGAGGACTCCAAAATGTCAGAAGTCAAGCAGGTAGGACAGAATGCCAGGTTGGCTGAGCAAGGATCTTCTAGAGTTTTGATGGAAAAAGACAGCATATGGCCACAGTAAATGAGGTCAGGTGACATGAGAGGATTACAACATTGCTGCTCACTACTGTAGGGAAATAATTTGTGCAGCCAAAGCTCAACTAGAGTTGAAGCTGACCAACAAAAAGGACTTTTTGAAGTATGTTAACTGCAAAAGGAGGACCAGAGAGAATATTGCTCCATTATTTGATGAGGGTATTCACCTCAGAAGTAGGGATATAGACAAAGCAGACATTCAATGCCTTCTTTACCTATGTCTTCAACAGCAATGATGAGCCCTGGGACCCAGACAGCCCTGATATGGAGGACTGACTGCAGGAACAATAAACTCCCAGCCAACTCCAGACATGTATGGGATTTGCTGCTCCAGCTGGATGCATGTAAGTCTATGGGGTCAGATGGAATTCAGCCCAGGGTGCTCAAAGAGCTGATTGATATCATCATGAGACCTCTATCAATTATTTTTCAACAGTCTTGGGAATCTAGAGAAGTCCTAGTTGACTGGAAGCTGGCAAATGTTGCCCTAATTTTCAAGAAGGGCGAGAAAGAAGACCCTGGTAATTACAGGTCTGTCAGTCTCACTTCAGTGCCTGGTAAAATTACAGAGAAGATTATGCTGGGAGTTATTGAAAAACACTTAAAGACAACACAGTCATTGGTCATTGCCAACTCAAGATCACTAGGGGAAAGTGCTATTTAGCTAACTCAATTTTTGTTTTATGTAACAGTGTTTACCAAGGGAAACCAAGGGAAACCAGTTGATACAATCTTTTCTTTTTTTTTTTCAGTAAAACTTTTGATACTGTTTCTCGTAGTATTCTTCTGGACAAAATGTCCATCATACAACTCGATAAATACATAATATGAAGGGTTGGCTGACAGGTCAGGCTCAAAAGGTTATAGGAAATGGAGTTGCATCAGGATGGTGACCAATCAATAGTGGGGTTCTTCAGGGCTCCATCTTGGGGCTAGTTCTCTTCATTATTCTTATAAATGATCTGGATGCAAAAAATCAAATGTGTACTAAGTAAGAGTGCAGACATTAAATTGCAAGGAGCTGTTGACTCCATCAAGAGCAGAGAGGTCTTGCAGAGACATCTTGACAATTTAGAGGGCTGAGCAATAACCAACCACATGAAGTTTCACAAGAGAAGTGCTGGATTCTGCACCTGGGACAGGGCAACCCTGGATATATGTACAAACTGATGGACAAGAGGCTGGAAAGCAGCCTCACAGAAAGAGATTGGGAGTTCTGGTTAGTGGCAAGCTGTATATGAATCACAAATGTGCCCTGGCAGCCAAAAAGGCCAACCATATCCTGGGGTGCATCAGGCACAGCATTGCTAGCCAGCTGAGGAAGTGATTGTCTCACCCTACTCTACACTGATGCATCCTTACCTCGACTACTGTGTGCAGTTTTAGGCACCATGATATAAGAAGCACATAAAACGATTAGAAAATGTCCAAAGGAGGGCAACAAGGATGATGACAGGTCTAGAGGAGAAGACATACGAGGACTGATTGAAGTAAATTGGATTGTTCAGCCTCAAGAAGAGACTGAGGGAAGACCTCATCACATCTTGCAGCATTCTCATGATGAGAGTGGAGGGGCAGGCACTGATTTCTTCTCTCTGGTGACCAGTGACAAGATCTGAGGAAACAGCTGGTGGTCAGGCACTGAAACAGGCTCCCCATGAAAGTGACACCAAGCCTGCTTCAAGAAATGTTTGGACAAGGCTCTCAGATATACGGTTTGATATTCAGGTGCTCCTGTGTGGAGTCGGGAGCTGGACTCAATGATCCTTGTGGATGCCCTCCAATTTAGGATATTCTGTGATTCTCTGATTCTATGAGATCTAGACAAAGTGGGCCCTAGGGAGTGATTCAGGCCACACCACAGCTTGCTTACTTACTTCAGAGGTCTTAGTTAAGGTCCTTATACTAGTAAAGTCTAGTAAAATTCAGATGCTTTAGGTCTCCATAAAAGGGCAAAATATTCTCACATATCCTGTATTATATGTCAGTCCTGTGCAGCTGTCCCAGAAGTGCATTGTGGCAAGATGTTAGGCATAGATGCATGGAAAGCCCAATGATGCCTACAGCTTTGGTCAGCTACACTGTAACTGGAACTGCATTCACCACATTAGAAAATCTGTATTCTACATTCTGTGAATTCAGACACTGAAGTCTTGTTCCATGGGATCTGTTTTCCTCTCATCTTTGTTCCCAGTGCTTTTCTCCTTTCTTAGATACAAGAGAAGAAGTAGCAATAACAGTTGTCGGAGTTTACACTGGGTTTGGATTTTGAGCCACAGCGTCCATCCTGCTTCTGCACAGCACAAGAAATCTGCGCAGGCCATGTGAGAGAGTTTATTCTTGTTGGTTGGATACCATCATTCTCTGGCCCTTACTGCCTCCCTCAAGCACATATGAAGCCCTTGTTATCTATCTGCAACTCAGATAATGTGAACACATTTTGAAAGAAATGTAAAGCAATACAGGGATCTGATATTCATAGCCCATCGTTGATCCAAGATTATTCTTTTCCAGCCCATGCAACAACTTCTCGGCCACTTGAAATTACTTAAAGACATGAAAGAAGTGTTTAACATGGCTAGGGAGAAAAAAGAAAAAAAAAAAAAAAAAAAAAACAACCTGCAGTCATCTATCCAGAGACAGAATCATTTGGGAACGATCTGAAAACTTTCTGACAAGGTCTCAAAGGCCACTGTGTAGAATTATGCTCCTGTATACAAAAAGCTGTCACAGCCAGGTCTAAACTGTCAGAAATTCACTTAAATTTATAGAACCATGGCTACTTAAAGACACTTCTGATTTCTCCTCCATACATGACTTCAAGGACTAAAAGGGAACACAAAATCTGGAGATGCATTAAACAATGGGACCGCTTTGCAGTTGATTGTCTGATTTTCAGCCTCAAATTTTGGTCTTCAGTCTTATTTGTGAACATCCTCAAGTCTCAGTCTTGTAAGTTTTTGTACCCAGTGAGTTAATTTTGGAGAAGTGGTGTATATATATTCATACCAGGCTTAAGTAAGACAAGTTGTATTGGTGATCATCTTTACAGAGAAATGCTAAGTCCTGTTTTGTGATTTTTATACATACAAGTTACGTTTTTATATATGTTTATACTGTATTTATATTCAATCAAAACTGTGAACTGAAAAGAGCAATAATATCAATGCTTTAATTTTAATAATAATGAGGTAGTGCTTTGAAACAATTATAAATCATATTTATAAATTTATTACTTATATAAGTCATTAATTTATAAGTCAATAGCAATTATTTCACTTCAGGTTTTAGTGCCAAATACATTCTTTCAGCAGTTTTTGACTTAACAGGGTCCAGGTGATGCTCTGAACTTTCAAAGCATAAATTGATGACAATAAAATGACTACAGCTGCTAATAAGATTATTGTTCTTGAGTTCTTTTTAAAGGCAATTGGCTTGATCTGAAAAGTGTAACTATCTAAATTTTAGCTGATCATTGAGAAATCATACAATTCAGTAAATGGGGAGAAAAATCAGCTTTTAAAATGAATTAAATGGATCCAAAATTAGACACAAAAGATGCATCTATCACAACATAAAGTGTTACATGTTCTGTGGGTTTATATAGATTACAATGGTGGGTTTGCAGGATAAAGTCTGATAGGGTTTTGTGATTCAGACCTGTAAACTAGTGAGAGATTTTAATTCAAATTATTTTAGCCATTTTTTTCTTTTTAATTAGCAAAAAATGTCCTTCATCAAAATTATTTTTCCTCAAGCATCTCAAAGACTCATAACGAAAGTTCTCATGAAAAAAAAAAAATTAAGAAAATAAAATTTAAAAAATGTGGTTACTATCCACAAACTAAAATTTCTGTATCCTCTTTATTTTTTTTTCTTCTAGAGATGAAATAAACTCTTTTGAATTTCTTACTTTCCCAGGAAATGTTCCATCAATATATTTTCAACATTATCTTATAGAAATGTGCCAATTCTTCTGTCTTCATATTTCAAAAAAATAAGTATTCTACATGCAAACTGTTTTAATAGGAAAAAATAATGATACGGGATGACTAGCTCTTTTGTTCCAGTAACTTCAAGATCACAATTCTGAGATGCCTGAATACAATTGGCAAGATGATTAATTTATCTATCTCTCATTAATGCTTTTGAAAATTTGAATAATTTTTTTCATAAAATAGAATTAAAATGAATTCAGGAATTAGGGGCAAGATTCATCAGAATGTACTTTAAATGGTTTCTGCATGGATGCTTACAGCTGGACTAGTCATCTACATTTTCCTTGTTATTACTGAACCTGCACTTTTGATGAAGTTTATCTTATCCTAAGGTCAGATAAGCTGCCTGTTTCTTTTCATTGACTGAAAGAGAAACCTACACAGTAGTCATATAAAGCTTAATCACACAAATCCTATCTAGGGATAAGAATATTTTTTAATTTTTTTTCAGAAATAAGCATTTAATTTTCAAGCCTCTTTTCCATATTCTACTCTTCTTTTTTTTTTCTTTTTTCTTTTTTTTTTTTTTTTGCCTTATTTTATTTATTTATTTTTTTCCTTTCCTGTTCTGTATTTGATCTCCAAGGCTCAGCTCTGCACTTCTCTTTATGGAAGAGAATTCTACCCAGATCAACATGTTCCTCTTGCTAGGATTCCCAGCCCTAATGGACTTGAAGGTATTGTTCTTCATAGTACTACTACTGACATACATTTTAACTGTTATGGAGAATGTGGTCATCATTTCGTTAATCAAAACAAACCATGAGCTCTACAAACCCATGTATTTTTTTCTTGGTCATCTCTCCTTCATTGAGGTCTGGTACATCTCAGTTATTATCCCCAAACTCTTGGCAAATTTCATTGCTGAAGACAGAAGTATTTCCTTTGTGGGATGCATGACCCAGATCTTTTTCTTCAGCTCCTTCATGTGCACTGAATGTGTCCTTCTCTCTGCCATGGCATATGATCGCTATGTGGCTATCTGTCAACCATTGCGCTACCTGGTCATCATGACATACCAAATGTGCATATACCTGATAGCGCTCTCCTGGTTCAGTGGGTTCACTGTATCTTTGATCAAGATCTCCTTCATTTCTCAGTTGGAGTTTTGTGGTCCCCAGGTAATTAACCATTTTTTCTGTGATATCAGCCCAGTGCTAAACCTCGCCTGCACTGATATGTCGGTGGCAGAGACAGTGGACTTTGTGTTGGCTTTATTCATCCTGCTTGTTCCTCTCTCCATCACTATTGTCTCCTACCTATTAATTATCATGACAATTCTGCATATCCCCACCACCCAAAGTAAGAAGAAAGCTTTCTCCACGTGTGCTTCCCACCTAACTGTGGTCACCATTTTCTTCTCAGCTGCCCTCTTTATGTATGCTCGGCCCAAGAAGATCGATCCTTATGACTTGAATAAGCTTGTGTCAGCTGTGTATACTATTGTCACTCCCATCTTAAACCCCTTCATTTACTGTCTGAGGAATCAGGAACTGAAGAAAGCATTCAAAAAAGTTCTCTCTGAAAAAATCAGTATCTATAAGGTCTCCAGATCCATCACTTCTCTCCAAATGCAAGGATAAACTACGAATAAACTGAAGCTGATAAGTACACAATAAGGATATCTGGCTAATGTCTGTTCACAACAGAGACAGACTGTGATCAGAGGAACAATGACAGGGTGGAGAATGCTGACAACCTGATTCTTCTGAATCAGTCATCCCCTAATACTATCAAAGGTGAATGACTGAGTCATAGTCCCAGGAACTTTCCTCAGTGCTATGCAAAATAAAGGGGACTATAGCATAAGGGAATATAGAATTTGGAAAGCCTGGGGATGGATGGAAAGTCTGGAATTAAAAGAATTGGGGATATTACAGGATTTATTACAGTTTGTTTAGGGAAACGCCCAAAGGAAGGTAAAGGGAGATAAACACAGGAAAATGAGCAAATAAAAGGTCATATGCACTTGTCTGGTCAACCACTGTACACAGTTACCACAGTCTGTCCTGCCTTTTTATTAAACTGCTTTCCTTTCACAGAATTACAGAATTGTCAAGTTTAGAAAGGATCTCTGAAGGTCACCTGGTCCAACCCCCGTACTCAAGAAGGACCAACTAGAGCCAGTTGCCCAGGACCATAGGCAGATGGCTTTTGAATGTCTCCAAGGAGGGAGACTCTCACAACTCTCTCTGGGCAACTTGTTCCATGCTAGTACCACACACAGTAAAAAGATCTTCTTAATGTTCAGAAATCTCCTGTGTTTAGTTTATCGCCAATTCTCATTGTCTGTCACTAAGTGCCACTCAGAAAGAGCCTGGCTCCAACCTCCTTGCACAATGTCCTGCCTTGAGACAAATTGTCTATGTCTTGCCTCAAGTTTTTCTTTTTTACGTGTGCATACGCATATGTGTGAGTGATTTGGTAGTAAACATAAAGACATTGATCAGGACAAGAGACCTGAAAAAACAGATTCTGGAGAGACAGAATATTACAGGTCTAAAACTAGAGGGACCAAGGTCAGAAAACAAGACGTGGAAAGCCCATTAGTCCAAAGTCCAGCTGCCAAAGGGACTGTGGCTCTGGATGCCAGACATCGAAAACATCAAGGGCCTGAGAGAACAAAACTGGAGAGAGCAAAGGTCTAGTATACAGATAAACTCATGAAGGGGATATTCTGTTAGTAGACATCCACATTCATGCTCTCTATGTTATGTGGAGACTTACAAAATATAGTCTCCTTCTACCCGTATTGATCCATTTGTGGCTCTGTGTGTGTGCGCACATGCACCTATCGGGAACTCGTGTTCAGGCTCACTACTAGCAAGGCATGGGTACAGGGATATGTATTTGGTTTATATGGCAAGGGCTTAGTAGCAGGGGGGCTGGAGGAGCAGCTAGTGGCCTTTGTGAGAAGAATATGGAAGCTGCCCTGTGTTAGATGCCGGTTCCAGGCAGCTCAAAAAGAGACATAGTCGAGCCAGTAAGCAATGTTGGTTACACCTTTGTGAGAGCAGATTTAAGAAAGGGAAAAAGAAAACTGCTGTGCAACAGCAGCTGGGAGAGAGTAGTGAGAAGCAGCTCTCTATACACCAAGGTCTGTGCAGAAGGAGGGCAGGAGGTGCTCCAGGCACAGAGCAGAAGTTCCACTGTGGCCTGTAGAGAGACCAGTGGTGGAGCAGGCTGTCTCCCTGCAGCCCATGGGTACCACAGCAGAGCAGTTCTCCATGCTGCAGCCTATGGAGGACCCCGTGGTGCAGCAGGTGGATGTGGCCTGAAGGAGGCTGCAGCCCATGAAGAACCCCTGCAGGAGCGAGGCTCCAGAACAGAGCTGCAGCCTGTGGAGAGGAGCTGCCACCCTTGTGGAGACCCATGTTGGAGCAGTTGCTCCTGTGGATGGACGCTGTGGTACAGACCCATACTGGAGCATTTCTTGAAGAGGTGCAGCCTGCGGGGAGCCCACACAGGATCAGTTTGTGAAGGATGCATCCTGTGGGAAGGACCCCACACTGGAGCAGAGGAAGAGAGCAACCATGGAGCAACAGAGATGAAGTGTTACAGGCTGACTGCAGCCCCCCTTCCCCTGCACCACTCAGGGGGAGGACGTAGGAAACGGCGGATGGGGGAAGGTTTTTTCTTTTTGCTTTGATTTATACACTGTTCTAGTCTGCTAGTTATAGGCAATAAATTATATAATATCCCTATGCTGAATCTGTTTTGTCTGTGATGGTAATTGATGGGTGGTCTCCCAATTATGTCAACCCTTAAGCTCTTTTCATTGTATTTTCTCCCCTTTTTTCCTTCAAGAAGGAGGAGTGAGAGAGTAGTTGTGGTGGAGTTTAGCTGCCCAGCAGGGCAAAACTACCACAGGATAAAGAGCAATCATTCCACTCACCTGTCCAGGATGCAGGAATACGCTGGATGCAGCTACTCTTAACACACACATTGACAACAGCTCTAAGAATCTCTTTAAATTCATCAAATTTGAAGTTGGCTACAGAGATACAGCAGATAAATCAATATCCATTGATTATAATGCAACAGTGTTCTCTTTGTTCTTGTCATTGACCAATGTTTGGGTACCATTCTACGATTATACAATTCTAAGTCCATGGGCGTTCAGTGTGGACTTTTGTAAAGGTTTGGGTAGTCTTCTAGTCTCAACACAATAGCAATAATCACAGGCTCAGTTTGGTGATGAAGATTCATATAGTTTGTTTGTAAGATGCAGTTGAAATTCAGTTTTCCAAATGCTTTAGCATGAAGTATATACTCATTACATACCATCAGCAAAAACAAATAGAAAGTTCCAGTAGGTGAAAACTAGTCCATGAAAAAATATATGGTTCCAAACTTCCTTTTTTTCCCTAACCCTTTTGCAAAAAGAAGAATAGACTACCTTACACTGTATCACTCTTTAATTCCATTCCTATCACAGGGCACTGAGTTCTTACATAACCAGTAAGAATCTCCCACATTTCTTTTCAACAGCATTATCAAACACCTGTCCTTTCTTCATGCTACCTCCAGGGACACAGGGCAGAGATAACAGCCAAAACAAATACAAACAAACAAAACTCCCTTTTTGAACTGAAAATTTTAATAAGAACATCAACATTTTTGGGGTTGTGCTAAATGGCTGCATATCAAGACAGGACCCAAAAGAGATCTAACCATATGCGCATGTGATTACAGGCAGTTCAGTTCCGTGAGGTGCAAACTACCATTTTTAGGGCAAATGCCAGTTTGCACACCAAGTTGGTAGCAGAGATCTCTCTCTGGTTTGTTCTCAAAGACAGCACACATATACCCTTTGCAAGCTCGGTGTAGATTTACAGTTTCTTTCTGCACCAGTGCAGAACTGAACACCAGGCAGGTTTGCAGGGAGATAGAACAGTCCTTTGCAACATCTCTAGCTAAAAAAAAATTAAATAAATAAAAATTTTTATTAAAAAATTAAAAAATAATAGGTTCAGTCTGAGTGCTGGTGTTAGCTGTATACCTGATTCCGCTCATTCCTATTCCCCTGCACCTTGCAGTAAAGCTGGTGTTGAAATTTATCTTGTGTCTTCCTACATACATTGTCACAAAACATTATGCCACAACATATCATTTCTTCTGAGTGTATATAAAAAGCTTGTCAAATCTTCTGTCTGCCTTAGGCAGTCAAGTCAAGAGTTCTTAAAGTCCAAGAGTGCTAGAAGGGCATCTGAGTGCTCAGAGTGGGTGCGGAATTCCAAGCTGACTGTTCAGTGTGATGTGTTCAGTGTTATGACAGCAAGAACTGTCTGCCTTGTTCAGATGCCTTTTTTAGAAGTTGGGGGTCAGCATCTTCAGAAATCTTGACAAAGTATTTAGCACAGTCAGGAGTAAGTAAGATGGGCAGAAAGTAGAAGATAGCCAGGAGGGTGGAATTCAGTGAAAGGTCTTGATGTAGTTGTCTAAAATGTACACTTCATCCTCATCTCCATTTTTAAGCATACATTTAACTACAAGTTCATTAGTAAGGCTCCCCTTATACTTAATGAAAAGATATGGACCCCCAAAAAAGAGCTGACTCAAGTCAAAGAATTCTCAGGCTATGCAACATCCAGAATGTAACACATACTAGCTCTCTAGGGATATACAGAGTGTGAGCTTCCTAATCAGAGCCATCAAGTAATACTATAATACTTGTATTTTCAGGACTACTGAATGGGACTGTCAGCTTTGGCTCATATCCTGCAAGAGACAAACGTGCTTCTGTATGGGATGCTGGAGACTAGATGGGCTACAATAAAAGACACCTACAGAATAAACACCAAGGCCTTGAATATCTCCCCTGATTTACATCTAAGCAATTAAATTGTAATGTGCTGAACTACATGAGATAATGAGTGATTTTTTAGCCTCTTGTAATACAGCATCCTCTTGATCTCTTCTCTTGTAAATATGAATGGTGGAGTAATTACATTCTGAATTTGTTCCTCTTTTGGTCACTTTCCACCAGGAGAGTTTTCTCCCTAATGTTTTATTCAGGGCAGATCTCACCTCCTGGTTCCTAAGAGTGTAGATCAAGGGGTTCATAGCTGGGGTGATAGCACTGTACATGACAGACACCTGCATGTCTGTTATAGAGGAGCTGCTCAAGGATGGAGGTGTATAATTGAAGAATAGTGGTATGTACAGTAGTGCCACAACAGTAAGGTGAGAGGCACAGGTGGAGAAGGGCTTCCATCTTCCTTCCTGAGACTGGACTTTCTGTAAGAGGAAGGAGATGATGTATAGGTAGGAAAGGACTATGAGAATGAATGGGCCTAGAGCAATAGATGTGGTGACAACATTAAGGAGGATCATGTTGAGGCTGGTACTACTACAAGCCAAATACAACAGTGGCTTGATATCACAGAAAAAGTGATGAATTTGGTTATGCCCACAGAAACTCAGTTGAGAGGTCATAATTGAATGCATCATGGCATGTACAAAACCAATGGACCAGCTGGCCACAGCCAGCAGCAGACAAGTCCTTTGACTCATGACAAGGGTGTAGCACAGTGGGTTGCAAATGCCCATAGCGGTCATAAGCCATGGTGGCAGGAAGCAGCAGTGGCCAGGAGCACAGCCTCAGTACTGCCAGAAAGTGCAGAAAGTAGAGAGGCTAAGCACCCCAAAAGAAATAGGCTGATGCCCAAAGAGAAAACCAGTCAGCATCTTGGGAACAGTAACTGTAGAGTAAAAAATGTCCAGGCAGGAAAGGTTCCCCAAGAAGAAGTACATTGGTGTGTGGAGCCGTGGCTCAGATATCACCATGGTCACAATGACACCATTTCCCAGAAGACTAGTTAGGTAGAGCAACAGGAAGGAGATGAAGAAAAAGTATTGTAGACCTTGGATATCGGTGAGGCCCAAAAGGATGAACTCACTGACCTCTGTGTGGTTCAGCATTGCTAGAAAAATAGGAAGCAAAAGCAAAATGTAAAGGTTTCACAGTGTGAGCAATGCTGTATTACAATACTTATCTGTTTCTGTACTATTTTAATACAAGCAAATGCAGGAAAGAACAAAACATTGTACATGTATATGCAACCAAACATAAAAGCTGAATACAAACACAAAGATTTAACACAAACAAAAGTAACTATAGTGCAGTCTTCTGATTTCTGTCTAGAACAAAAACAAAGAAGAGTGAAAATTTTACAGAGATTAAATATTAAAATAAAAACTTCCATCTGTGCATAATATGGAAGAATATGTAAGCAACATGTAAAATATGAAACATTGCTGCTTCTTCACCTTCAGCCACATTAATATTTCAGTTCTGCCCATCTGTAACTCCCTGCTATAACCTTTATCTCATCAATAAAACTTCGTAATTCATAAAGATTCACAATGTGAATCACTCTTGATGCTTTCTTTTTACTATTGCGCCTACATTTCTTTAAGCCAATTTTAACTTACCCATTTCTAATGGTTACTATTTCTTCCAGATAGTTCTTTGGTCTTTAAAAATATGCAGTTTCAGTTTATTTTTTTTTTTAATCAAAAATGGACAACAGAAGGTGCTCCAAGGTTCCATACAGTGAGCAACATTTCTTTTGTACATTGCTGTCAATAAAAGAAGATGATGCCTTAGCATGTGATCACAAGCTGTTTCTGTTATTGAATTTTATATTTTGCCTGAACAACTTCTTTTCATTGAGTAGCAGCACATGAATGGAACAAAAGCCAGCAACTGATCTCCTACAACACTGTGGTGGAGCAACAGTGAGTTTGTAGGAGCCAAATTAGCTAGTGCAAGTTCTTAGCCAAATTTGCTCGTCACACTGAAAGCTGATCATACTGGCTCACTAAGACATTAATGATCGGTATATTCAGTATCTCTAGTCTTTTAAAATACAAGCGAGCAAGCAAATGCTCTCACTTTTTTCTGTCTCAAGTAAGTTTGCTTAGCACTATGGATAATTCCTTCACATATAGAATAAAAAGCAAAGTCCCAAATTATTTTGCTGGGGCAGATAGGCACAAGTATTTCTAACTTAAAGTACAGACTGCAAATTCTGCAAGCTGAGAATTTTTCTCTGTGTATTGAATGTAGCATGATTAGTACTGATGAATATAAACAAGGGAAAAATTATTACTTCCAAAATATTTCTTGTAAAGGTTACAACACATATAGATACATTTCATAGCCTTTCTTGGTTATTCCACTACATACTTTTACCGAAAATAAGTAGTTGTTAGAAGTCATTATGATATATCTCCAACCCAGTCACTCTCTTTCTCATACTATTTTACATATAGCTTATTCTTTTAGCATGAAAACAATAAACTAACAAAACTTTTTAAAACGATTTCACAATAAAAGAATGTGAGCATGAAGCCTAAGGTAATTTCTACATATATGCACCCACTCTAAAAAACTGATCATATTTGGCTAAAAATACGTTTAGCGTTATCTTTTGAATAATATATATTTGAAACATTGGATTAATACTATTCTAGATTTATCAAAGTTAGTCAGTTACCTGCATTTGAAGAGTTAGAGGTGTTATTCTCTATGAAATACAAACACTTCAATTTCTTAAATGTTATTTGCTGCCTTTAAGCATAGAAGGGTTTTTCACTGAAACCCACCTGGGGAAAACATCACTCCTTTAAGGTGTGTCCCACATGCCCTCTGATTCTGCCTGTTATTCTCAGTTAACTACAGGTGATCTAATCACTTTCTTCTACTCATTTTTCTACTCCTTTAATGATATTTTTTTCTGCTATGTCTAACATTTTCCTTCTGTGTCACAGATGCTGACTAATCTTTCCTCCAGTGAATGGAGAAACACATCTAGTCAAAGGAAAACAGATGTCCCAAATTTTTGTTTGTTTTGTTTTCCAGGGTGGAGTAAGTCCCAAAGATCTTTGTTTGTTTGTTTGGTTGGTTTTATTTTTGTTTTTCAGGCATGGGGGGAAGACACTTGCTCAAATATAAATGCAAATAAAAGTCTTTGCATGCTGAAGCTTGCCTATTTTCCAACTGTATAAATTGCTTTTTTTTTTTTTTTTTTTTTTTTTTTTTTTTTTTTTCTGCACAAGCCTAACACACACCACCAGTATTTTTCTGATTGTAGTAGAGCCCTCCAACCATGAGGGAATGGGAAAGCCAGAAAACAAAGCTGAGGACAAAACAACTTATTCTGAATTCAAAGATTAAGAATTTCTGTCCTGCTATTTTATTTCATACCTTATTTTTCTAGATGAGAGTGTGGCCATGATGAAAAAGACTTCCATATATTCAAGTAAGACACAAGGAGGAAGCTTTGTAAACTCTACTAGAAATTTCTGATGAGGAAAAACAAACAAACAAAAAGTTTTTTGTTGTGTTGTTGTTGTTTGTTTTGGCTTTGGTTTTTTTTTTTTTTTTATATTCCTATTTCGTTCTGTTTGCATGTGTAGCTTTTGCTTTCCCTCAAGTCTTTATCTCAATCCATGAGTTTTCTCACTTCCAGTGGTCTCCCCTATCCCACTGCAGGATTAACACAAGTCAGCACTTTGGTACTTAGCTGGCATGTGCCAGGGCTAACACACAACACTCAACTTCTGATTGATCTAGCTCTCCACCCATAGACCACCTACTCAGTTTAGTGTCTCTCATTTCCAGATATGCTTTCTTATGTGCAGAGAAAGATATGGAATAGAATAGATCTTAGAGTCAGTCACCTACAACATCCCCGGCATACCCTGATAGCAGCTGAGCTTGGAGTTGGATCCAACACACTCTGGGAAATACCTAAAACCTAGCTTTGCTCTATTCTTTCTCAAGAGTCCAATGTAATGTTTCATCCTTTCAAAGCCAAGTCATCAGCTCTGTAGATCCTTCTAAGGACCAGCTCTTCCTGCAACAGCTGCAGACACAGCTGCATGTTTCTATAGGAAAAATTAGAATTTCTTTAGAAAAAACAAAACAAAACAAAACATAATGACTGATGGAAAGAGCAGGACAAAAGAAAAAAAAAGAAAAAAAAAAGTGAGAAGACTGAAATGTTATTGGAGTTTTGAGAGTTGGGTACAAAACCATTTTCTTCCCATTCTTCACAAGGAAAGTTTTATTTGAAATGTCTGAAGGGTAATTTCATGATTCTAGGGAATCCAACAAGTAGACACAGTAAATACAGTAAATCAGCCTCCACTCCTTTTCTCCCCATACACCAATTAGACAGGCACCATAGTAGAAATTGAACTAGAGTACAGTGTTTTTTTTTTTTTTTTTTCACAAAATGTTTAAAAATGTCTTATTGGTAACTTGGCAGAACAACCTGGGGATCATGAGGGACTCTGGTGAAAATGAGCCAGCAATGTACCCATGGGAGTAAAAAGGATGGAGCCAGGCTTTTCTGAGTGGTACTTAGTGACATGACAAGAAGAAATGGGCCGAAAATAAAATACAGGAAATTCCTCTGAAACATAATGAAGAGCTTTTTCACTTGGACGGTAACTAAGCATTGGAACAAGTTGCCCAAAGAGGCTGTAGAGTCTCCATATTCAATACTCAACTAGATATGGCATGTAGGAACTTGGTTTAGATGACCCTGCTTTGAACAGGGGTTTGAGATAAGACAATCTTCTAACGTGCCTTCCAGCCTTGTCCATTCTATGTTTTCTGGCATCAACCCCCATCCTTCAAATCTTAGCACATTTGCACAGCAAAATAGGCAATGATACCAAGCAAAATTAACCTCTGATGAATATGTGTATTACAGACTTATTTTGCTACGGCATAAATATATTAGAAATAAAAGTAATTTGGTAGATGATCAGTCCACAATAGTCCTAATATGTAAGACAAATTAAACTGACACTTAACGTGTTTGGGTACATCTGGTCTCTGACATTAAGAAAACGTCCTACCTTAAATTTCCATAATTTTATTGAAAAGAAATCTAGAATAAATTTATTTGAGGGTAAAGAGCTCTGAAATGAATCCATATTCAATGTCAACAAGTATGGGCAATGTTACAGTGAGAGAGGCATACCATTTTCTTAAAGTACCATAGGAGTGATGCTGACAATGTTACTTTTAATTTACAGTGATTGCTCTGTGGTTTGATTTTCCATCAGTAAAAGAACAGAGAGGAAGACAAACTTCAGCATTCAAAAGACATCAAAGAGGGTGTGTCACCTGGTACTGAAATGAAATCAGAAATGTTTTTGTAAGACTATTCATTACTGTGTGGGCTAGGTATCACAGTAGTTGAAGGGGACTGAACTACACTACACAAACTGACTTCCTGAAGAGCCTGCAGGTGTATAATATTCCACTTCCTCACAACCTCAGAGAACAGATTTGATACTGATCATGATGCAAGCTGTGGGACAATCACTATATGCAATGATAGTTTTTCTTGCACTCAAATATGAGTGTTGGGCTCAGGATAATTGATTTTGAGCATCTAATTGTCTGATCTTGGTCAGCAGGTGGGGTTTTACCTGCCACAGTTCAGAAGGTTATATTTAAGTTACTCTTTCTGTCTCCTTTGTAGCCATTAGAGAGAAAACCCAGGAGTGGGGCTTGATGTTCCTTTTGGGTACCTTAAACCGTGTCTGTCCAGCACTTCTGCCAGGATCCCTCAAGTGCCAGCATGGCTGGAATGTATGCCCAGCAACCCTGCCAGGATGCCAGGCCTGTCTTGAAGTGCACAGACACAGAGGAGAGACAGTATGAGTCTTTATTGGCTATGTATTGATTTACTGCTAATTCCTTTTGTTCTAAAAGCACAAGCAATAATTTAAATATTTCTTGTCCATATTTTATGCTGTTTCCATGTGAATTCAGTAATTCTTGTTCTTTCCACACGGCTACATGGGCGTGTATGACTCCAAAAATATACTTAGACTTGGTATATGTTAACTTTCAGATCTTTCTCTATTTCAAGAGCTATAATCAATACAATAATCTTGGCCTTTTGTGCTGAGGTATTCCAAGGTAATGGTTTAGTTCCTATTTCTTCCTCGAGGATTACTGCCTCATATCCAGCTTTCCTCTCCCTCTCATGCATGAAACTGCTGCCGTTTGTATGTAACTGTAAATCTTCATCTTTTAATGATTCATCCTTTAAGTCTGGTCTGCTGGTATAGACTTATTCACAGCAGCCAGGCAGTCATGCTGTAATGGTTCTTGCTTAGTTATTGGCAACAGGTTCAATGTAGATACCATACCCAGAGTCTCTTCTTCTTCCTATATCAGAATAGCTTGATATTTGGCCAATTGACTCAGAGAAACCCAGTAATGTCATTTATCCTTTATAATTGTCAGAAGTTCATGAAGGACCATTGCAGTTATAGGTTGTCTCAAGGGAAGATTCCAAGTCTTCTGGTTTAATAAAGCAGCTGCTTCTACAGACCATAAGCACGCAGGCCACTCTTTACTTATTTCATCAAGTTGCTTTGAGAAGAAAGCCACTGGTCTTTTCAAGATCCTGAGCATTTGGGTTATCACTTTTAAGGCCCAATGTTATCTTTAATATTGTGAGAAACAAAGTTGTGTTTTTGCAATAGAAGGTGTTTTTGCAGTGGAAAATGCCACTAGCATCACATATTGAAAAGCGATTGTGCAGGCATGACAGTAGCATAGCAGTGGGAAGTATATTAAGAAGAGGAAGGTCCTACTGTCCCAAAATAAGGAGGATAGCTAAGAAAAACAGGAGAAGCAGTGCAAAATCAGTAAAACCAAAAATCATGAGCCCTCTATTTAGGAGAGAAGAAAGAAGAAAAGGAAAAGGAGAAAGTAATGGTTGGTCAAATAAAATAGTATAGAATGGTATGGTAAAAAATAGTATGGTATAGTATAGAATAGTATGGTATAGAAAGGCGTCGACTAGCTTGTGAACCTATAGTACTCAGCTAATGAGGAAACGGGAGAAATCAGCTGTTGAGTAATAGGGAATACAAGGTCATGGTATACTTTCACTGTGTGCTCCTGCTTGCTGGACACCTGCCATTGCAATTGCGAATAAAATAGCTTCACAGAAGATCTTGTCTAAGGGCTGGAAAGGCTAAGACCAGAGCTTCCATTAATTTTCTTTTTATCTCATCAAAACTTTCCTGGTACTCTGGAGTCAATTCCAGTAGTTCTGACCCTTTGATAACATCATATAATGGTTTATGAATAAGTCCAAAATTTGGAATCCAAATGCAGCAGAACCCAGCCATTCACAAGAAACCTCTTAACTGTCTCTTGTTTTTTGGTACTGAAATTCTGGAAATCATTTATTTTCTTTCTGTCACAAGTATTCTTTGTCCTTTTAAACTGCATTAATTGCAGTATATATTACATTCAAGTATCCATTTTTGGTCCAAACCTCACCATCCTTCATTTTATAGTGTGGTCACAAGTGATTACAATACCTTTTCATTTTACTTTGGTCATTGGTTCCCCAGCAAATTTAATCAAATTCTTTAAAATACACCCCAAAGTGGAACAAGGGGAAACAGTCAAGGATTAGCTAGAAACCCATATTTCTCAAAAATAGTTTTCCTGTGCACTCAGCTCTGACCCTCTGTCAGTAAAGATAGCTGGTCCTTTACCAACCATCAAAAATCAGTGTGTATTCATTATAAGCTTCCATTGTGTATCTTAAGATGCAACTTCCCGTGTCACAAACTGATGCAGGAAGGAAGGTCAACACGTGCAGAAGGGGAGGTCAACATAACCGTTGAGTGGAAGGAGTTCACTCACATAAGTCTGCTATAGTGGGAACCCAAATGGATTTATCAGCCTTGAACACTGACAGCAAGAAGTAGATAAGGAAGTAGAAAGAATTACTCGTTTAAACTTTAGGTGAAGCTTATCCCATTAACATAGAAAAGTAGCCAACTGTAGGCTAGGGAAGCCCCCTACCACTAGAAACCCCTTACCCTCTAAGCATGCGTAGTAAAAAAGTAATGTACTGTATCTTTAAATGAAAGCAAGAAGTTAAAAGACCAATCATGTAAGTGAACGCTATCATTGAACCTGAGGAAGTGATGATCTTGCATTTTGTAATATATAAAATAACAAACTGTTCTCAGTAAGGCTGGCATGCGAGCTTAGTGGAGTTACCACCTGGCATTCATCTCTATGCAGACATGAAATAAGCAAATGACTTGATTCTGAGTGCTAATCAGCTCCTTGCACACTGGGTAAAGAACACCATTTTGGGACAGGACTGACCATGCCAAAAATGTGACAGGATAATCAGGGTCTTTTGGATATTGAGTGATAACATGGCAACAGACCACAGACTAAGTTTGATATAAGTACCCATACTGATTAATTAAGCCTGAGCAGAATGCAAGCAAGCTAAGCATAAGGTTAAGCAAACTGAAATGGAGAAGCTACTTACCATGTAGTCAAGGGACTAATGTTACCTATGGATGAGCAACAATCAGGAAAGTTGTCATAGAATCACAGAATCATAGAATCATAGAATCATAGAATGGCTTGGGTTGGAAGGAACCTTAAAGATCATCTTGTTTCAACCCCCCTGCCATAGGCAGGGATGCCACACACTAGATCAGGTTTGCCAGGGCCCCATCCAGCCTGGTTTTGAACACCTCCAGGGATGGGCCATCCACAACTTCTCTGGGCAACCTGTTTCAGTGCCTCACCACCCTCTGAGTAAAAAACTTCTTCCTAACATCCAATCTAAATCTCCTCTCTTTCAGATTAACACCCTCCCTCCCCCTCCTCCCCCCAATCATTATCTACACAAGTAAAGAGTCCCTCTTCATCCTTTTTATAAGAACCCTTTAAGTATTGAAATGCTCCAGTGAGGCCTCCCCAGAGCCTCTTCTTCTCCAGGCTGAACATCCCCAGCTCTTTCAGCCTTTCTTCATAGCAGAGGTGCTCCAGCCCTCTGATCATCTTTGATCATCGTTGGCCCTCCTCTGGACCCATTCTAACAGGCCCACAGCTTTCTTGTACTGGGGGACCCAGACCTGGATGCAGTACTCCAAGTGGGGCCTCAGAAGGGCAGAGCCAAGGGGGACAATCACCTCACTTGACCTGCTGGCCATGCTTCTCTTGATGCAGCCCAGGATGCAGCTGGCCTTCTGGGCTGCAAGCACACACTGCTGGCCTCATGTTGAGCTTCTGATCTACCAGAAGCCCCAAATCCCTCTCTTCAAGGCTGCTTTCAATAGGTTCTTCTCCCAGTCTGTACACATACCTGGGATTGCCCTGACCCAGGTGCAGCACCCTGCACTTGGTCTTATAGAACCTCATTCAGCCCACTTCTCCAGCTTATCCAAGTCCCTTTTGAATGGCATCCCTTCCTTCTGTTGTATAAACTGCACCATTCAGCTTGGTGTCATCTGCAAACTTGCTGAAGGTGTACTCAATCCCATCATCTATGTCATTGATGAAGATATTGAAAAGCACCGGCCTCTACCTGGACATAGAGCAAATGGCCACTACTCTCTGGGTGCATCCATCAAGCCAATTCCTTATCCACCGAATGGTCCACCCATCAGATACATATCTCTCCAATTTAGAAATCAGGATGTCATGTGGGACCATGTCAAAAGCCTTACAGAAGTCCAGGTAGATGACACCAGTCAGTCTTCCTTTGTCAACTGATATAGTCACTCCATCATAGAAGGCCACCAGATTGGTCAGGCATGATTTTCCCTTGGTGAAGCCATGCATTAGATTGTCAACATCTCATATTGTCTTTCACAAACATCTTCACCAGGCAACACTCCTTGATCAACCAAGACCAGCCAACTACTCTTACAGGGTTGTGACCTTCAGTTGTGACCAACAAGCTGATGCAAGAGTGTCAGGTGTGTTTCTATAAGGTTTATGCTCTGTGGGTAGCATACTATTATCTGGTGAATGGTTTGTCTGTATACCCAAGAAGGGCATTGTCTAGTCCATTCAGGAGCAACTGAGTGAGTCAACACAGTTGTTGTGTATCACCCATAAATACTCTATCAATATTGTTAAAGACCACCAATGGATAAATCACAGATTTTTTTTTTTTTTTTTTTTAATGTGAATTGGTTATGTAAGTATGTTATATAAGTGTTCTATTCTTTTATTCTCCCATGCCATAACAGAGGAAGGGAACATCTTGCCACACATATGCATAACAAATGTATTCACGTGAATTTTATTTTTCCCTGGACGTTATGCTTGACACAAATCTTTAGATGCTGTTCATGCTAAGAGTGCAGAATTTGACCATCATGCAGCATTTGATCAATCCAACTTGCACCATCCACAGCAAAATCCCTATTTAATAATGCCTCTATCGTACAATATATCTCTACCTAATAAAGAACAGTTATCAAAAGCATGATTTCCTGAGGTACTGAATTACCCTTACCCCTGGGCCATCCAGAAAGATAACAGCTCTAAAAGACCAGAGTGAGCACTTTCCTCTTCTTCCTGGGAAAAAAAAAAAAAATATATATATATATATATATAAAAGTAAAATTAAAAAAAAAAATCCAAAGTGAAAAAACAAAGAAACAAACAAAAGCAGAACACTTCTGCAACTCTGAAGAGTTTTGCTAATTTCTGTAGAATCACACTCACACAACTTTTGTTTTTTCATTAGGCAAAAATCTAAGTGTTCTCAGAGCCACGTTGCAATTCTATATGTCCTAGGTAGGTTTAAATCTCCACTTTTGACCCATGGTCGGATTCTTATTTGCAAGTCTATGTGATTTCTTTGTATGGTATATCGGTATACCTGTCTCATCTGAATATACTGTGAAGTAAAAAGGAAGGAAGAGGCACTTTTTGTAACTAAGTATATCACTGTGTTGAGAACTTGGAGTAGCACAATAGCACAAACACTCTAAGGCCTCATACAAAAACCTGAGACTGCAAGAAGAAAATTTCAAGAACATTTCAAGGAAGAAAGAAAGAAAGAAAGGAGTGTGCTGAAGGAGCAAACTGCAGTATTCCTGTGACTATTTATTCTGCAAGTATATTGCTTATTGAGTTAACAACAGAGAAGAGGAAAGAGTTTTAAAAGCTTTGGCCTGCATCAAGTTGTTTGAAATCTCTCTACCACAAAAATATTTTTCCCCCCAGTTTTGGAAAGAAAAGTTTCTCTGGAGAGCTTTCATAGCATTTCATTCACAGATCCTTTGGACTAACCACTGTCATTTTGTTCTTTGAGTTTATACACCTTTAATATGTAGTGAGGAAATCATTTCTGTTTTCTGACTATGCAGAAACACTGTGGAAACAGACAAGCTTGTATTTGGAAGTGGGATTGCTTTCTCAGTTGAACCAAGTAAGTTCCATTTGTATTACTACTAATATATTTTGTACATGTAAGTTTGAGGTGGGGTGGACAAAGTGGAGTAAATCTGAGTTGGGGTGGGTTTTATGATGTTGCAGTTGAATGAGAATTTTCTGTTGCTAGGGATCTCTTGAACATGTATACACCAACCAGGTGCTCAAGTCCTCAATTTAGTTAACAAAACTTTTCTGGACCAAAAAAGTTATTTTCCTAGCTGTGTGCATCAGCATTACTCCACATATCCTCAATACCACCTCTCCCCGACCCTTTTCCCCCCAGTAGCTGCACTACTAAATTTAACACTGTATTGATTATACCTACAGGAGGTGGTATTTTGTCCCAGCTTTAGTATGAGGTAAAGTTAGTTCTTTTCTTTCGTTTGTGTAACACTAAGACGCATGGAAAGGAAAATGGAGACATAAAGGGTTTCAGAAGAAAAATCCTGTGGAAAATCATGGCGTATAGGATTTAGCAAACAGCTGTTTGAAAAAAGCACTTCATATTCAGAAATGTCACTCATAAAGGTGATCTTTATAAGGATGGTCTACCTTCCCCAGCTTTTGTGTGGGAATGTGAAGCAATAAAGTCTCCCCCGAGCCTCAACTCAAACTCTCTCAGCCTGTCTTCATAGGAGAGGTGTTCCAGCCCTCTGATCACCCTTGCAGCCACCTCTGGATTCGCTCCAACAGGTTAATGTCATTATTATGTTGGGGATCCCAGAGCTGAACACAGTACTCTTGGGGAGTTCTCATGAGAGATTGCCACGGCCAGGCACAGACTGTGATGCTGAAGGAGCTATAACATAGGTGCAGACAAAATGCTTATAACCTCATCTTAAAACAGCTCCCATGCGAGGAGATGAGAGAGAGTCAGCTCCAAGTCCCAGCAGCTGAACTTCCAGGACAGGACAATGCACACAAACGTACCAGGAAATCCTGGATAACCGTTTAACTGGGGATGAGCATTCCAGAGATCTCTTCTTTTTCTCCTAGTTTTTCACAGTAATGACAGGGGTAGGTTTCAGTGAAAGCATAAATGCTTAGTACAAAGATGCCTTAAGGATCTACAGGAGACTTGTTTCTTTCAGAAGGAATAAGCAGAGAGAAGACAGAGTAAATGGGATATGCAGAATGGCACTGAAAGCCTCTGTTAGTTGCCCTAGTTTTATTCCTTAGGATGGCTCAGCATTATGTAGTGAAACGGTCTCATAACTTGGAAATCACTCCAGAGCTCATGTAACACTATTCACTTGTTAATTTTAGAGACATTTCTATGCCTGGGTCAGGTTCTTCAAAGAAATATTATGGAAATGTTGAAATAACAGAATCTGGAAAGAAAATCTTGTTGGACCTGAACATTTGTAAATGAAAATTTAACATCATTTTCTGTTTTAACAACATTATTTTGTATCTGCAGGTAATCCCACCCAATGCCACTTATTGGAACAGTACTGTAGAGTGGAGTATCAGAGTCCTCTCACTTACATGTATATTTTATGGTTAAGCTTTTTAACATCATCAAGTAAAGGATTTTTGCACAATTAAAAAAGGATCTTTTATCATGTATCATGTTAGAAACATATATGACTGCCCTTGAAATAAATGTTCTTTTTAGGATGTACATTATTATGAATTATTAATGAATATGATCATTTGTGTTGTATTCTTAAGAACTCCCTCTTTTCAAAGTGCCTAATTTAAATTAATTCACATATAGATATGAGTTTTAGTAAAAACAAGTTTAAGACCCCAAGGGATTAAAACCTTCCATTAAAATCCCACTATGCTCCCTTTCTGTATTTTATCTGCTCTTTGGGAAAGAGAAGGAAGAAGACACTTAGGTGTCAGGGGACAAACATGAGTGGACTATGTTTGAATTGCAGGTGATTTAGCTGTCAAGAAAGTATGCAGAAATAAAGTTATTCTAAAGTTATGCTTCTTTTTCAGGCAGACAAGAATATTCTACACCAGAAGTCATTGCACTTAAATCAAAGGAACCTAAACAATATGGCAGCAAATTGAATATAGCTTGTTTGGCAAGGACATTCTACCCTAAGAACATCAGTCTTGATGGGCCTGAGGGTCACATTGTATATGATCTGAAGGCACCTCTTATCACATCGGAGGGGATGTACAGTACATGGAAGGTAATTAGGAGTAAAACCAGATGCAAAGGGGACCTGCAAGGCTGTGCACAAGAGAAATGAGACTGCAGCCAGCACAATTCTGCCAGGTACAATGTTTGTGGTACAAGCACAGACTGATTCTGGGAGATGCCTCTTCCGAGATACTTTCTTAGTCTTTGAGCATCTAACAGGAACAAGTACAGTCAGAAAGATATTTAGGTGCGTAGACATGTGGAAGTGAGATATTCAAAAGTACATGGTGTAGATGATCTTAATTCAACCATTTAAGCACTGGAATTTTCTTCTTTAAAAAAAAGGGGGGGGGAAGGGGAGATGGAGGGGGACATGGACAACCAAACAACAACAACAAACCAAAACTCTTTATGTTTCTGAGTCTTACTTTATCTGATGCAAAATCGTTCAAGGCACGTGAGTATACATGTCTGATAGCAGAAAGCTTGAAATAACTTATGAAAACAAAAAGAAATGGAAAATACGTTTTTTACCCAAAACTTCTGGTTATTTTTTGATTTTTATTATCTTTTTTTTTTTTTTTTTTTTTTTTTTTATGGTAAAGTGCATTTCAAAAAGGATAAAAAAAAAGGAAAAATCCTCAACAATCTTGGTGGACTTTTCTGCAATCACATGTAGAAAGATATTCTTTCTCTTCAAATTAATACCAGAATTAATGTCTGCCTGCCATCTGACATTCCAATAATGCTTATCTACTGCTGGGGAAAGGGGCATAGGTGTTCTTTCTTTAATTCTCATTTTATGTAGTTTAGATACAGTTTATAATGTGTCTCAATCATTCAACAGAAGAGAAAGCTGAAGAACTGGTGACAGTGAAAGTTTGCAACATTATAGATGCCTCTACAAAAGGTTAGTTGTTTAAAGCATTAGTACAGTTTATGTACTTTATTGGTGAATCAGTAAAAATACATGAAAATGTATTATCTTTGGTACAGAAATGTCTGAATTGTAGATACTTACTAAACAATAGGCTTCACTGATTGTGGATTCTGTATAAAGACATGACAAATTACTTTCTCTAGTGTAAAAATGTCAGAATTGGAAATATTTATTGAGGAATAAGCTGCTATTTTGGGTTAACAGGTTAAATAGCTGAGAATTTTCCCTGGGATAAACCAGCAATGGGAAGTAAATTCTCACTGGGCAGGCATTTCTTTCTCTCGTCCCTGAACTTGATGAATTTCTCTGCCATCTTCCCCTCTGTTCCTCCTTCCCTCATCCATGATGTGTGGATTTTCCTTTTTTTTTTTTTTTTTTGATAGTATCAAGGCCAAAATCTCTTCCATCTTTTTCTTCTTTTGAAAACAGATGTCAAAATGGAAAAAATGAATATGGTTTTCATGGTGGTTTTGTGTTTGAGAGTTTTGCTGGCGAAAAGTATTGCCTTCGGTACACTCATGACTATCAAGCTATTCATCTTTGAGGTAGGAAATAAATAATTCAGTCCCTGGGAACACAGGAGGGAAGTGTAGGGAGTGCAGACAATTTGGGTTTATAACCTCCTGTAACCCCACAAGGAGTGACACTATCTCAGCTCTTCTGGTTTCCACAGAATGAGTCAATGTTTCCAGTGACTAACTCATTGGTTGCTCATCCGCAATTTGTTTTTGCTCCAGGCTAGACCAGAGCACCTCAGGTTATATCAAAAATCTTCTGCTGGCAGCTTCGAGTGGAGAAAGTCTGGAGAGAAGTCCAGACATGTGAGGACTACAAAGGGAGAATCCCCAAATACAACAAATTTGAAAAAGGAGAAGGAAAATGTAGGTGGGAGAATTCTGAAGATCAAGTACACAAAATGACCAAAATGATTATCCAGTTTATTCTGATTTCACAGGAACTAGGCACAACTTCATTAAACAAACATTTCTTTCAGGTACTAAGTGAGCCAGCAATGGGCTGAAGAAGAGTGGGAGAAAATGTAACAGTGTGATTTAAACACTGTGGCTCAACTTTGCTGCCAATAAACATCTAAGGAACCAAAGAAGCAATATCCCTTCCCAGTTCCTGTAGAACTTTGAGTCCCATCACTTCATCAAGGTGCTCTTCAGTTAACACCATCTGAAAGCTTTCTTAAGCAGTTAATATTGTTGAACTCTTGTCTTGCTAAATTTCATTAATTGTTACAACAATTTTTTGTTATGTTTGATTCATATCAGAAATTGTCTTCAACCTACTGCTAAGCAGGAATACTTAGATGTCCTACTCCTCTATCCACTGCGTTGAAGTACCAAGTTGCTTAGATAGTTTTCAGAGCTTAAAACTGAGCTTCATACTTACTATGCTTTAAAAATAACATCTCTATTTGTATTACATTACTGTCTACAAAAGTAATGCCATACTGCTTAGGGATCCCAGGCAGAGAGGAAGCATTGTATGGTTTTAATTTTTAGATGCTTTTATTAGTGCTAATTTTCTAGTGTAGGTGAACATAGTTCCACCAGACCTGAAGGAATTCATGTTAGACAGATATATAGTAGGATTTTCCTTTGTTCCTCTAGAAACTTTTTTCTCTTTGTCAGGTATATGGAGCCAACATTTCAGGTTTCTTAATGAAGATCAAAATAAAATTTTATTATGCTGAAGTATCGTAAGATTTGCACAGTGTCCTTACTTATGATAATTCAGTAAAAATTGATAAAATTCAACTGTCATATCCAGTAACCACTGAGAAGTAGGAAATCACCTACCACATGATGTATTTCCCTTAGATTAAAACTGTTTTTCTTGGGTTTTCCACAGGGTAAGAGAAAGACTGCCTGACACATTTAAAAGACTTCAGCAAGGCTAAGAAATTTGGCTTTGCTTTTAAATGAATTTTAATTATTCATGTCCTTTTAAATTAGTCAGGCTCAAAATTTTTGATTGTAACAAAAAGAAAAATAGTAAATATGAGAATAAGGAATGAACGTACAGATCTCAGAAGGTGAGAAAACAGGATACTGACTTCCCACTTACCAGTACTGGGAAGGGGCCAACAGGAAATACTGTGGGCTGGTTTGACAGATAACCTAGAAGTTTGGTTAGCAGTCAAAACACACACACACAAACAAACAACAACAACAACAACAAAAAAAAAAAAAAAAAAAAAAAACCCAAACACTGCACATACATGTCCCAGTTAACTTTTGTCTCATAAGCTTCAAACTGCTGCCTGCTTGAAGCAGGATCCTGTGGTTAAAACGAATGACTAAATCGCACTTTGCAAGAAAAGTTCCCCCTTGTTTTGAAAAGCACATTAACCACTTCCTGAGGGGAAAAGGTACACAACTGAGGTACTGTTGGCTCCAAAGCAGCAAGGCAAAATCTGTTTAATCAGTCTTGTTAGGTTCAGTCGTTCACACATGCAGTCATATCCAGAAGATGTGACTTTTCTATGATGTTTCTAGGTCCTACATATCTGTGGTTGAGTCCCAGAAGCACACACACAAATGTGGAGAACAATAGCAGTCATGTTTTTGTTTCCTAGGCATCACAAGTAATAGAAGCACAAGTGAAGCCACACAGGCTATAAATGTCCCTTGAAGCAGTCTCCTTTCTTTTCTAGTCAAGCAAGACATACTACACTTGTGCAGTATTCAGTGATGCAGCCACCCAAACAGATCAGGCTAGATTGTTTTCACAGCACCCAGTTTCTACTGTATTGCCTTCCTTTCCTCTCTGGCTCCTGAGCAAGAGCTAATTTCCCTGTAGGTAGTGCCAAGCATTTGTGTACCCTTCCCTCCCCAAGCATGGTGCTGTCCTCAGCAGCTCTTTAACATCCTCCTGCTAGTGAAGTAGCTCCAGGACCAGACTGGGCCATGTGGCAAAGGCCCTGCTAAAACAGAGAGCTACACTTCAGAATCTCTGAGCTAGTAGTAGAGCCTCCAACAACTCTGCTCTGATTGCAGTAGGATCTTTGCATGCTGCAGGTGTTATGTACCTCATCCCATAGACATCTTCGCCTCATGGCTCTTTCTTACAAGGGTGAGCAGTGATCCTTCTTACTTCTGTGGGACAGCTGCACACTGACAGGGTTTGGGACTGAAAGATGAAGCATCTGCCCAGAGATGTCTTTAAGAGTGGCAGGCAGGACTGCCAAAGGGAAAATTCCTTACAAGCTTCTCTATGTTGGCATGGATTTGCTAAAAAAGAAAATTCTTCTCTGGCAACGTAAGGACGGACATGAGGATGCAACACAACAGATATACCCCTCCTCCTCCCACCCATCAGGAACACAGATTGTAGGTAAAATGTTATGTGAGATGAGGAAATACTATCAATGAGCAGGAAATTTTCGTTGAACCTGTGAAGAGTAAGACTTTGTCCCTTTGTCCCAGCCTGTAAAAGTGCCTACAGAGGGGATTCAGCTCAACATTTGCACTAGCTTCTTTACAAGAGCTTCAGAAATTGCTGCGTACCATAGATACCAAACATTAGAGCTCAGTGACAAATACCAATTTGCTTGCTTTCCTCTCTTTTTTTCTCCAGCCTACGCAAGCCAGAAATTACCTAAGAAAAAGGAGGAACTGCAGGACAGTTTTGGGGATGGTCCTGGGAAAAGGGGTATGTCCTGTCTCTGTGAGGTGATCATTGTAGTGGTTATACCCTGCTGGGCAGCTAAACTCCACCACAACTGCTCTCTCACTCCCCCTCCTCAGAAGCAGAGGGGGAGAAGAAAGCAGAAAGTATGCTGGAAAGAAAAAAAGACTCAGGGGCTGAGATAAGGGGAATTTAGGAAGAAAGAAAAAAAACAAACAAAGGCCGTGTGGAAGCAGAGAGAGAGAGGAAAATAATTATTCCCTACTTCCCATCAAAAAGCAATGTTTGGCTATATCCTGGGGAGTGGGGCCTCAATATGTGTAGTGGTTGTTTGGAAGGACAGACGTCTTCATAATGAGAGTCACTCCACTCCTTCTGCCTTCCCACCTTTTATTCCTGAGTGTGACACCATGCAGTATGGAACATCCTTTTGGTTGGTTTAGGTCAGCTGCCCTGGTGATGTTTCTTTTCTCACTTTTTTGCCCACCGCCTGGGAGAGTTAGAGAGAGTCCTGATGCTGTGCCAGCACTGTTCAGCAGCAGACACAGCACTGGGGTGATACCACTGCTGTTCTGGCTACAAGTGCAGAGCACAGCACTGTATGGGTTGCTGCAGGGAAAGTTAACATCCCAGCCAGACCCAGTACAACCTCATTGCAGCCTTCCAATGAATCTCTTTTGTACTGTTAACTTGGGAATGAAGAACTCAAGAGAAAAGTCTCTTTAAAGTTTTCCTCCCCAGTAAGCTTGCCATTTTCAAAAAAATGAAAAAATGTTTGAAGAACTAAGAAAATATATTTTGATGCTTTATGCGTTCCAGATACCTTCTGACTGAAGAAAGCAAACAAACAAACAAACAAACAAACAAAAAAAACATAAATAGGAAATGAGTAGCAAAACGTCTTTTTTGTTTCTTGTTTATTTATTTATTTATTTAGTTTTCCCCTTTAACATTTTGAAGGCAATCAGAAATTATGAAGATAAGCCTTGAAAGCCCGTAAGTGGTGAACAAGCAGCAAAACTTATGTTTTGCCTAGAGAGCTTTCCCAAAGTGTCACTCAGAAGATGCAGTAGAAAGACACAACTTGGATGAAATGTGCTGTGAAAATGTCCCAGAGCAAAATCTTGAGTTATTTTTATGTACTTCAAAATGATTTTCTTTTTCACAATAGAATTTCATTTTACAGTTACTGAGCTGCTACATTTGAGCTTTTTTTCAGAAAGCATGGTTTGGTTAGCTGAAATGTCTGTAGTGTTTCTGGTGAATTCTGGATGCAGTTTTTTCAAAAGGATTTTTCCTCTTACTGACAGGCTGTAGATGTGTCATCAGCCTTGCAGTAGTAGCTAGGGTGTTCTATGGAGTGTCTCCACCCATGGCATTACTCCCCAGAGATGCTTGGTAAAGACTGAATTCAATGTTTGGTACAGTTCCACCTTTGTCTGCCTGTCTTCATAAAAGTCAAGACTGACCAAAAGGTAGTTGAATCTAGAAGGGTTTCTATCTAATGAGATGTTGTAGTCAATGTAGGAGATTGTTAATAATGCTCTAACTACAGAGTAAAGGACGTATCTAATCTAAGGACCTGAGCACAGACTGAAACCTCATCAGTACCTAATGTGTTTGTAGATTGGAAAAGGTCTGAAGCACATACTCAATATTATGTGTAGTGGTTCATACGTAAGTGAGTAGATAAATACTATATGAATCTGCTTTATTATGTGTATGGAAAATTGAGATTATTCTTATGAATTGCATTATGCCTAATCAACTTGTAATAATAGTTTATTCACTATGAATTCCATTCCTGAGGCAGGAATTTTATCTTTATGCACAGTATTTAACAAGAAATTATATGACTGCTGTTGAATCTGTGTGGAAGTTTGTATCCTGCCATAGCAAAGCATTTTGAAAGTGTTATGTGTTATCTTGATGTATTTGAACAGGACCATGTATATGAGTATTTTGAAATCATTATTTAAAAAAAAAATCATGAGTGCAATAAGTACTGTTGATTGTGCATATTAATTCTTTCAGTGAATAGTAGGTCTTTGCTGTCTGAGTTCATACGTGTAAGTTTATGTATTGTTTTTTAGCATGCATTAGTTTGAATGATACCTATTATATCTACTTATGCAATTTTTTACACATATCCTTATGAAAAGATACATATCCTTATATGAAAGTGTGAAGAGTGGCTGTCTACATGACCATTTGCAATTAATTCTGTATCTGTCTATGTGAAGTTCATGAAATACATGTTAAAAAATCTGTCTTGGGACAAATAGAGAGCAGGATGTAAGGAAAGGAGGTAGAATGGAAGGTCAGATCAGTAGTGACTTTGATGCTGCTCCAAAATGTTTATTTGAGAAACACAATCTTTAAAAAGAACACCTTCACTACTTAAAATTATCACATTCTGATATTGATTACTTCCTTAACAGACAAATCCTGTCTTTTTCCAAAAGATGGTAAATGACACAGCAGTACTGGAATTCAGGCTACTGGGTTTCAGTGGCAACCCACAGTACCAGATCCTGCTATTCATAGTGTTCTTGGTTATTTATATTCTCACCATTTTAGGAAACGTCATTATTATTTCAGTAGTGACACTGGAGCCACGACTTCATTTACCCATGTACAAATTTCTCAAGAACCTCTCTTTCCTAGAGGTCTGTTACACCAGCACAATTGTACCCAAGATGCTGGCCAATCTACTGGCAGAGAGGAAAAGCATCTCTTTCTCAGGGTGCATGGCACAGCTTTTCTACTTCATTACCCTGGGAGCCACTGAGTGCTACCTCTTGGCAGCAATGGCATATGACCGATACCTTGCAGTCTGTGAACCCCTGCACTATATTGTGACTATGACTGCTGAGTCTTATACTCGTATGGCTGTGGGCTCCTGGATCACTGGTGTCTTCACTGGTTTTCTCCCCTGTCTGATGGTCTCCAGATTGCACTTCTGCAGTTGCAACCTCATTGATCATTTCTTCTGTGATATCTCTCCACTGTTGAAGCTCTCATGCTCAGACACCACTGTAACAGAAGCTGTCATCTTCATCCTCTCTCTCCTGGTCCTTTCCAGCTGCTTTCTGTTGATTCTTGTCTCATACCTACTTATAATCCTCAGTATCCTAAAGATTCCCTCTACTTCTGGAAAAAGAATGACTTTCTCCACCTGTAGCTCACACCTCATGGTTGTGACTATATACTATGGTACAATGATTTCCATGTATGTCCGTCCCTCCTACCGCCTATCCTCAGAGCTCAGCAAGGCTGTATCTGTGCTCTACACAGTGGTGACACCCCTTCTGAATCCAGTCATCTATGGTTTGAGAAACAAAGGATTCAAGGAGGCATTGGAAAAAATAGTCATCAGACACCATCGTCTTCGTGCTTTGTAAGATGGGGAGAGTTCAACTCTGACTCTTGTTATCCAGTTAAAATTATCCTATGAACCTACAATTTGTTAATTTCTGTGTCTTTGTTATATTCTGATTACAGTGCAGGTTGTTATCTCAATAACACATTACAGTAACAGTTTCTGCTTTTTTTATAATGAATAATTCAAGCCAGTTATTACTGTTAACCAAAATAACTCCTGGCATATTCTCATGCTTTACTTTCCTCTTTTTCTTTTTCCTTTCTCCCTCTCTATTTACCCAGCATTTAATTTACTTTTTATTAATTTTATAATTACTATTTGAATTGCATTTTATGTTCTTGTTACTGCACAGGCAATAATGCACAAATTTCATATGTGTTAATAAAGGTTAAAATTTCTGTATTATTTATGTGTTTCATTGCCTGTAGATGCTAGCTCATTTTTCTCTTGGTCATTTTTGGTGTGTCTATTGATTCAGAATAAATGCCACTGCAGTTTTTCTGTGTTTCATGTGTGGTATGTGAAACACATATCTTGACATAAATAGAAACAGTGTAATTGCCTGTTATGAGGAAAAGGTATCTGAAAAGTACATTTTCTTTTGTTGCTTTACAATAATTTAATGCTATGTGTAGTTAATATGATTTAACTGAAGGATACTATTCCGTTCCTTTCTCCTTGAAGGAACATTTCAGGTGATGAGACATCAAATTATACTCTTATATTAGTAGGTGCGGACTACTTAAGGCATCTGCAGGAGATTATGAGTCATGTCACGGAAGCCATAGGAGAAGCCATCTTTCTACAGTAGCTGCTTTATTCCACTGAATGACCTATGGACCGTTAAATTCTTGGACCCATATATTTATGCATTTGATTTGTCCCCCAAAACTCTACTTACAGAAATGAAAGCTTAGATATCTACCTGGCATGTGGACACCTGTGTGAGAACCCACAAGTTTAGAAGTCATAGAATCATAGAAGTCCTTAGTACTTAGAGATAGGGATTGCAAAGAGTCAGAACAACCTAAAAGATACAACTACCATGGTTGTGCTAAAGAAAGGCACTACAGCAAACACTCCATTGAGTTCTTAGGTGCCAAGGACAGAATTGCACAAGAGTCTTGATAGCAAGACTATCACCATAGCCACAAGATATTCAATACAAACAGCAGTGAGAGTAACCTTGCTTGACTTCAACTTACTGAAGTTATGAGCATTACCCTAATCAAGTCAGGATGAATCACACTTAACTGAGGATAGCACCTCAGGTGCATAAAGAGAAACCATTAGTAATAACTTCGTGACTTATTAGATGCTTCAGAATAAATCTTTTGGTTAGCAGATTCAACAGTAGATCAGTCAGAGACTACCCCTTTTTGAAGTTACAGGTGGAGGCCATTGAGAGCACTGTAGGACATTCACAATGACAATAAATGCCTGTTTTTAGGCAGTTAATTTTCTTCCCAGGTATACACTTCAGATAAGATGAATGGCACTCTATAAAGACTGATGATACTGACTAGGATTTCAATTTAGTTCCTGTCTAAGATGTCTTCAGATGATCAAGATATCCATCTAGGGCTGGTAGACAGGGAACGGGATAAAAAAGGAGCTTGCATTTAATGTTTTAATGTTTAATGTTTTAATTAATGTTTTAATGTTTAAATTTAATTTAATTTAATTTAATGTTGCTTTAATGGAGGTTTTCACAAAAGATCTCAAAGGTATGCAAGCAAGTAGATGCTTTCATTCTCCAATTCAAAACTATGGAATTAATTTTCTTTGCATTCTTTTCTGTTTGTCAGCCACCTATCTGCAACACCTGAATGATTAACTACTCTGCTCTGACACAGAAATTAACAAATTGTACGGTTCATAGGATAATTCAGATAGGCAGAGACCTTGGGCAGTCTCTAGCCCAACCTTTTGTCCAAAGTAGTCAGCTACGAAGTTAGACCAGGTTGTTCTGGGCTGTTTCTTATCAAGTGTTGACATGCTCAAGGGCAGAGAGTGAACAGTCTGTTACAGTGCCTGTACAAGAGATCCCTTCCCAACTACATCATTCCATGATTTTCCATACAATTTTATTTTGCATAGAGACTCAGAATCATAGTACTACTACAAAAAATGCAAATAAAGTAGATGTTAGAGCAGTCATTTCATTATTTTCAGACAGATTTGGCTAGAGTTCAAGAAGAAAAAGAGGGTTTAGGATCTTTGGAAGAAGGGGTGGGCCACTCAGGCGGAATACAAAGATGTTGTGAGGCTGTGCAGGGAGAAAATTAGAAGGGACAAAGCCAAACTGGAAGTTCAACCTGATTATTGATGTTAAAGGACAATAAAAAATGTGTTTATAAAGACATAAAAAAGGAAAGGAGGACTAAGGAGAATTTCTATCTTTTATTGGATGTGAGGGAAAACACAGTGGTAAGAGATGAGGCTGATGTACTTGAAGACTTCTTTGTCTCAGTATCACATTGAGATATTCATAATGTTTTAATCAAATAAGTGTACTTCTGTCAGATTTTCCTTTTGTAAAATAATATATGCATTTGTTTTCTTGCCTACTTACCAATATTTTTCCAACCACAATATATGTAAATATTTATTTTAATTCTTGAACAAACATTGACAAAGACTGTTGTCATTAACTCTCATCACTATTAATCTTTCTGCTCATCTTAATGTACCCACATCTATCTGTCTGTGCACTTTGTCATCATTTGTCAATCTGTAGCTATGTGACCAGTGTTTGCCATGTTGGTACATTTTCCAGTCATGTGAAAATAACTGAAAAGTCATCTTCAAAACACTATAAAATCCTATACATTTTCTAAATTATATAAGTTCTGGCAACTGCAAAGATCAATCATGCTGATTGCATGTCCAGCCAATTTCTCAAGAAAAGCAGCACAGGACATTGAAGCTAACACAAGAGTTGCAATGCAGTTTTACTTCTGCTGTGGGAAGAGTTGGTGAGAAGGAAGATGTTACAAGAGCTATTAATGAAAAAAAGTAATCAGAGACTGTCCACAAGATGTTTGACCACAAATACTGAAAGATGACAAGTTTTTGAAGTGAATTAATTTAACTTTGTTAGTCTTAAATATGAGAAACAAGAGAAGCCTTGTTACATTATTTTTTTTGATTGAAAATTGCAAAGTCTAGCAAAAATCTTCCTCAAAGATGATTTCTCCTATCAGACACTTCTGACTACTTGCAGAGTCAGAAGTAAGAGTAAGCTTATAGCGTCCTTACTCTACAAAGACTTTGTGAAAAACATTACTGTGAGAAGGTCAAACACGGGAGTAAAGTTTCTTGAAGTTTTAATAGGGGCCTTCTGAGGCTATTAGAAATAGAGCTGTTATGGGAAATCCTAAATGGCCCTCTAGGGAGGAGCTGATTAGAGCAGAAAAACAGAGCATGGTTACAGCAAAGAAAGGAAGGAAAAAATTCTTTCATGAAGCGGCCCCTGAGACGGTATCCTGCCAAAAGAAAGGAGCAAGGATGCTCAACCTTTGCAGCCCTTGCCTGCCTGAGGTTTCTTTCTTTCAGCATGGAGCATGAAGAGGAGATTGCCTCTGCACTCCCAGGATCCTGCCTCCAGGATCCTGGAGGGTGCAAAGGCAGCACAGTAAAGGTGTCTGAGCAAAGGTCTCTTCCTGCTTGCCCTGCTGCTGCAGGAAAAAGTAGCCAAGGGTCTGTAAAAGGGACAGACCTCCCTGCCACAGTATGGCCCAATGATACTCCTCTTCAACTACAATCACTGTGACTCCTGTCCTATATCTCCTACACCCACACAGCTGGTATCCGTCTGGCCTACACATCATTGCTATCCCAGCTGTGGGACTACCCTCTTCCCCTGTGCTCCTCAGCCTCAAACAGAGCCCTAAAACTCACTTTTCCTGCTACCCCTCTAGCCTAACCTGCAGGCCCCCAGCAGTCCAGCCTCACAGAGATGGTAGCCAGCTTCTCCACATCGAGCTTTGCCTGCCCCAGACCAGTTTCACTCCCCACCAGACCCCAGTATTTCAGTGATGCTCTGTAGACTGCCCCTGCAACCCCTAAACTTCCACTTGCCACAGACCATTCCCCTAGCTTTCCAGAAATGGATGCTTGTTCTTCGGCCATGAAAACGTGATCAGTGCTCCCATACATGGAACAGTCCCTCAGAATCTGAGCAGGATGGACAGAGATGGGTGCTGATCCACTACAAGGAAGACATTTATTTGCTGGAATGCATGCAGAGAAAAACAATGAAGCTGATGAAGAAGACAATAACTCTATGGAACAGCTGAGAGCACTGGAGTTGTTTGTGTAAGGATATGTAGAACAAGAGAGTCTGCTTCTTTAAGGGTATTTAGTCAAGGGCCTTTTTTTCCAGGGCAACAAGGGAGAAGAAAAAGGGGAGGCAATGATGGGAATCAAGTCTGGTCAGTCACCCTGATTTATGAGAGCATGTGACAGTGTAGGAATATTTATTCCAGAATGATTATCTGATAGATAACTTCTAAGATGGAAGACAATCATAAGACAAAGACCCCTCAGTCACTAATTGGTGACCTAAGAAGCTACAGGTGCCATTTCCAGGGAGGATCATGAGAACAAAATGTGGGATAGGTAAAAACAAACGGATATAAAAGAGCTGGTTGTATGTAAAATGGGGTCTGTAGTATACTTGTCTGGCCAAGCACTGCACCTGATCACCACAGTCTGTCTATCATCTTCTATCTTCCTCTCATTAAATCTTTTCTTAGTTACCTCTCTGTATATTTGCACTTTTTCTCCAAAATGTACATGAGCTGTGAGGATTAAGCACCAGCTACTGCCAAGACCTGAATATGGGTGAGTGAACCTCAGAGTCAGATACTGCAGTCAGGTTGGGAAAGGGCACCCCAGCCTGTGGTGCTAGCTACTGGAATGAATGCAGGGGTCTCAGAAACAGTCACTGGTGGGACCTATGTGTGTGGAAGTGGAATTGGGGCCAGGTACAGGAGCGAGTAGGGGTCCTATCATCAGGAATTGGAGGGGTCAGAGCTCTCTGGATCTGAAAGGGTCCTACAGACTTTGAGCCCAGAGTGACAGCTGCTGGGGGAATTGGTATGAGTGAACCGGCTGGCCTCAACTGGAGTCAGCCCAGTGGTGTAGGCACCCTTGACCTTTGGTGCCATCTACTGGAGCAAGTGGGGGTCTCAGAGCCAGCTGCAGGAGCAAGTGGAGTTCCCTACTCCAAGCCACTGCAGTGGAAGAAGTGTGTGTTCCCAAACCA